GTGCACGGGCAACCCTGGACTCTCTTCCTGATCCTATTAGATAGAGTTTCCTGCTTGGACGCGCTGGATGGTCCCACCATGGATCTAATTACCTTATGATTATTCTTTTTAAACTATTTATCTTGTGAGTGACTATTTATCCAGTGGTTTACTAAATAATATTGTCAAAAATACTGCGCTTAGAGTCGCCTTCCTCTTATTTCTCTAGAGATTCTGTAGGCAGCTCTACAGGTAGCAAATTTCCATATGCAGTATTGTATGATTCACTTGGTCTAAAGACTGGAGACATATTGTTAATAAATTAGTAATGTTTAAGTTCCTGTGCATAATAAAAGAAAATATATACTATGCAGTAAAGTAAACCACATGTAAGTTCCTAAAATAACTTTTTATGTACTTCCCCTTTTATTTCTGTGTTGTCAGGGCTCCGGGGTGTGACCGCAGGGTGGTATGTGACCTGAACAGCAGGGAAACGACGAGGACTTCTGATTATGTTATAAATATAATTTATTGTAACACCCCCCCTCCTAACAATACAAACAGTAAAACGCAGTGCAATACTAAAAACATAAACACAGTGCAATACAAACCAAAAAAAAATAAAAAACAGAAAAAACACAACCCCACCCACAGATGGACAGATACATACCAATCACAAGCGTGGTCAGGCAGTCCGAGGTCCAATATCAATCGGGCAAAAATAGGTAGGTTACAGGGGGAAGCTACAAGCGGGAGGAATGGTCGGGTCCACAAGCCAGGTTCAGCAGGTAGCGGGTGGCAGGAACCGTCGTTGTGGTACTGGACGGCGTCAGGCAGAGGAGAATGGTTCAGACAAGTTAGGGATCAGGAGGCAGAGAATGATTCAGAGCAAATGCCACGGTAGATCAGAGCAGGGTCAGGCAACCCCCCGAATCAGACAAGCTTAACCCAACAGGGTAGCATGGATAAAGGATAAGGGCCCAGGAGAACAAACCACACACCAAGGCAGTCAGGTCTGCAGGTGATGAGCCCATCCCTTAATATACACCAGTATAAATCAGTTGCAGGTGTTTTGACTGGCTGCACAGGTTGAGTCTCTGATTGCTGAAGAGCACCCGCTGGCCAGCCCTGCGGTACTGCAGGCTCAAGAAGGCAGGTGAGATCCCACCATTGCTGGCCATGTCCATTTCCTGGACAGTACCCTTCACTCAAAGACAGCCCGGCCTTCAGGATTGCCTCCCAAACAGTCCTAGCACTAGCTGGGCAATAAGGTGTCTACCGTCCCGGGTCTGGTAACTGGCGGGATATCAAAAGACTGGCACACCGGGCAGGACTCCGGGCCCCAGCGGCACACACCGGGCAGGGGCACACCGGGCAGAGGCACACCGGGCAGAGGCACATCGGGCTGGACTACCGGGCAGAGGCACATCGGGCTGGACTCCGGGCAGAGGCACATCGGGCTGGACTCCGCAGGCAGAGGCAACATCGGGCTGGGACTCCGGGCATAGGCACATCGGATTACCAGGCGATCAGCAGCAGGCACATCCGGATTACCAGGCGAAGCAGCAGCAGGGCACCGGGCCAACAGGGGTGCAAAGCAGCAGGCACCGGGCCACCAGGCGGAGCAGCAGCAGGCACCGGGCCACCAGGCGGCGGCGACAGGCACCGGGGCCCCCCAGTTCACGCGGGGCGACAGGCATCGGGCCCCAGGCGGACGCAGTAGGCGGGCATGGCCGGGCCCCCAGGAGGGGCGACAGGCATTGGGCCCCCAGGAGGGGCGACAGGCATCGGGCCCCCAGGTGGGGCGACAGGCATCGGGCCCCCAGGTGGAGCGGCGGGCGCCGGACCCCCAGGCGGGGTGACAGGCATCGGGCCCCCAGGCGGACAGCGCGGCGGGTGCCGGGGCCCCCAGGACGGGCGACAGGCATCGGGCCCCCAGGAGGGGCGACAGGGCATCGGGCCCCCAGGCGTGATTAAAAGCGGCGGGCGCCGGACCCCAAGGCAGAGCAACAGGCATCGGGCCCCCAGGCGGGAGCGGCGGGCGCCGGGCCCCCAGGAGGGGCGACAGGCATCGGGCCTCCAGGAGGGGCGACAGGCATCGGGGCCCCCAGGAGGGGCGGCGGGAGCCCGGACCCCCAGGCGGATGCGGCGACAGGCATCGGGCCCCAGGCAGAGCGGCGGGCGCCGGGCCCCCAGGAGGGCGACAGGCATCGGGCCCCCAGGAGGGGCGACAGGCATCGGGCCCCCAGGTGGGGCAACAGGCATCGGGCCCCCAGGAGGGGCGACAGGCATCGGGCCGGACCCCAGGTGGGGTGCGACAGGCATCGGGCCCCCAGGAGGGGCGACAGGCTATCGGGCCCCCAGGCGGGGCGACAGGCATCAGGCCCCCAGGCGGGGGGCGACAGGCATCGGGCCCCCCAGGCGGAGCGGCGGGTGCCGGACCCCCCAGGCGGGAGCGACAGGTCTCGGGCCCCCAGGCGGGGAGCGCTCGGGCGGGCGCCGGAACCCCCAGGCGGAGCGGCGGGCGTCCGGACCCCCAGGCCGGAGCGACAGGTCTCAGGCCCCCAGGCGGGAGCGACAGGTCTCAGGCCCCCCAGGCGGAGCGAGCGGTCAGCGGGCGGGCGCGGACCCCCAGGCGGAGCGGCGGGCGCCGGACCCCCAGGCGGAGCGGCGGGCGCTGGACCCCCAGGCGGAGCGACAGGTCTCAGGCCCCCAGGCGGAGCGACAGGTCGAGGTCCCCCAGGCGGGAGCGAGCGGCGGGCGCCGGACCCCCAGGCGGAGCGGCGGGGCGCCGGACCCCCAGGCGGGAGCGGCTGGCGCGCTGGACCCCCAGGCGGATGCGACAGGTCTCGGGCCCCAGGCGGAGCGGCGCGGCACCGACTCGGTCACCAGGCACAACAGTGGGCTCCGAGCTCAACGGGCATGACGCTGGGCAACTGGGTCAGACATTGGAGTTCGTCTGGCTGGACAGTAGCGTGGCATGACGGGTCACCAGGGGCATCAGGTCAGAGGCTCGCCATGCGCGGGGGCACCGTGTCATCTGGGGCAAGGTAGTGGGCTTCCGAGTCAACTGGTATGACCGCGGGCACTGGGTCAGACATTGGATTCGTCTGGCTGGACAGCGGGCATCGGGTCACCCAGGCATCAGGTCATTTGGCTGTTCTCAAACAGCGGGCACGCGCTGTCATCCGGCAAGACAGTGGGGCACCAAGTCACAGGCACAACAGTGGGCTCTGAGTCAATTGGCACGACAGCGGGCATCCGGGTCATCATGGTACCGGATTGTCTGGCTCGACAGAGGGCATCGGGTCATCAGGTATGACAGCGGGGCACTGGGTCACCAGGCATCAGGTCATTGGGCTTGCCAGCGGGCACCGCGTCATTTGGCAAGGCAGTTTGGGCACCGGGTCACCAGGCATTGGATCGTCTGGCTCGACAGCGGGCATTCGGGGGTCACCAGGTATATGATCAGCGGGCACTGGGTCACCAGGCATCAGGTCATTTGGCTCGCCAGCGCGGCACCGCGTCATCTGGCAAGGCAGTGGGCTCCGAGTACAACTGGTATGACCGCGGGCACTGGGTCAGACATTGGATCGTCTGGCTGGACAGCGGGCATCGGAGTCACCAGGCATCAGGTCATTTGGCTCGGACAGCGGGCACCGCGTCATCTGGCAAGACAGTGGGCACCAAGTCACCAGGCACGACAGCGGGCTCTGAGTCAATTGGCACGACAGCGGCGGCACCGGGTCATCAGGTACCGGATTTCTGGCTCGACAGCGGGCATCGGGGGTCACCAGGTATGACAGCGGGCACTGGGTCACCAGGCATCAGGTCATTGGCTTGCCAGCGGGCACCGCGTCATCTGGCAAGGCAGTGGGCACCGGGTCACCAGGCATTGGATCGTCTGGCTCGACAGTGGGGCATCGGGGTCACCAGGTATGACAGCGGGCACTGGGTCACCAGGCATCAGGTCATTTGGCTCGCCAGCGGGCACCGCGTCATCTGGCAAGGCAAGTGTGGGCACCGAGTAAGTTGTCACCAGGTTTGACAGCGGGCTCTGAGTCAATTGGCACGACAGTGGGCACCGGATCAGGTACCGGATCATCTGGATCCACAGAGGGGCATCGAGTCAACTGGCCTAATTAGGATCATCAGGCTGGATCAGTTCATCATGCTGGGTAGAGGCATCAGGTCTGAGTGGAGGCATCAGGGCTGAGTAGAGGCATCAGGCTGAGTAGAGGCATCAGGCTGAGTAGAGGCATCAGGATGAAGAGAGGCATCAGGCTGAGTAGAGGCATCAGGCTGTCTTACAGGCATCAGGCTGAAGAGAGGCATCAGGCAATGAACACAGAAGGCAGGAAGGTGACCAGACCTCAGACGGGCAGGTCTCACCGGTTTGGATACTGGCAGGATGGTATTGGTTGGAAAGAATTTTCGCTTTTTTCTGGTTTTAACTACTGGAGCACTGCAAGTAAACGCAGGTCTGCAAACGAATGGAGCAGCTGGAGACAGAGAAAGAGCTGGAGGATGGGACAGAGGAGGGAGCAGTTGCTACAGAGGGGCTTTTTTTACAGGGTTAAAGGCAGGATGGACAGACAGGTGCAAGCGTGTAGGGCGAGTGGGAACAGGGTACTGACATGCAGTAGATAGCAGGGCAGGAGGAGCTGTTGGGAATGCAGGAGAATAGAGCTTTGAGGAAATATATTAGAAGCAGGACTGGGTTTTGTAGGCTGACTGAGGCTGGGTGCAACAAATCTGTCCATGTCTGCAGTATGGGTTGAAAAAGCTGAGCTTACACAAAGCCTGTCTGACCAAAGACTGCACTGCGTTTATACAATCTCTTAGTACCTGTGGTGAGAAACTCCAACATCATAACTCTAATAACCATACCAGGGACTCTACCTGGTCGGGCGACCTAAATGGCGGAAAAAATGATAATCCCTGCATATGTTCGGGGGTGGATACCAGATGAAACCAACTCCGCACAAACCTGAATAATCAATGGCTGGCACCTCAGAGAATTCTGTGCCAAACTGATCTACTAGAAATGAGCCAACGTTTACATTCTAGCAGTTCATCCCGGGGATACTCCTTCAGAGTTTGATAAGCATGATTCTCTGTCATCACAACACTAGCAGATATAAATACACAAACCAAAGATCATAAGATCCATCCTTCCATCAACAAACCAAGATGGCTTACCCTGTGGCGGCCACTTCAGTTGGTCAGGGATTGTTTACTTGGTTGTAATGTCCAGGGCTCCCGGGTATGATGAACTAGGTGACTGGTGACTATTGACGCAGCGGAAACGCAGACTTCGTGCCCAGATATGTTATAAATATAATATTATACACACTAACATCAATACAACATAAAACGCATTTTGGTGCAATACTAAAACTATAATCAACACAGTGCAAACAAACCACAAACCAACCCACCAAGATACGCAATACAGTAGACATACAATGCCTTGTCATCGTCAGGCAGGGCCGGGGTCTCAATATCAATCGGGCAGGTAGTGTGTACCCTGTGGAGCAAGCGGAGAATGGTCGGGGGTCACAGACAGGTTCAGCTTGGTAGCGGCTGCGTCGGCCCCGTGTACAGAGGGTTCTGGCAGAGGAGAATGGCCAACCAGACAAAGGCCAGGGATCAGAGCCTTCAGCCCTGTCTGCGAGCAACAGTTATTCACGTACAGGGTTTGTACAAAAACATCCCGGGTCTGACTCCTGCAGTGCAGAACAGGTATACAGGGGCCCCCACAGAAAGAACTCAACACACCAAACAGAGAACCAGATCATGCAGTGTCTGGCCATCCCTTAACAGTAACACAGGTGCATATGGCAGTTCCAGGTGTGCACCAATAGAGTCTTGGTGTCAAGGAGGGCTGAGGTCTCTGAGGGTTGCCGGGAAACGGTCGCTCGCATTGGCCAGGCTAGACGGCAGAGGTTGGGTAATAAAGGGATAATTTGGTTTGAGTGCACTAACAAGACCGGCGCGGTGGCCAGTGGCCATTGGCTGTCGCAAAGCTTAACCCAGTTGGGGGCGGGCCCTACAGATGGTAAGAAGGCTGGTCATGGGCTAGTTGGACGTATATGTTCGTTGAGGTGGGCATCATTCGCAGGTAGTAGGGAGCTTGCGAGAATCAGACGGGGTCCAAGCCATTAGCCAGTCGTACCGGCCGGTTGTACTGGGCTAGGAGAGAACAACCAGACCAAGGCCAGTGGTTCCTCAAGGGTCTGTGAACAGTGTAGCCTGAACCAAAGCCTGTACAGCTGGGGGGAGGAACCTGTGTCAGCCACAGTAGATATCAGTTGGCTAGGTGGGTCAGGTGGGGTCATGCCCTTAAATACCAGCGAAGTGATAATCGTTGCTGTGTTTGCTACTGTGGCTGCAAGGTTGAGTCTCTGATGCTGGGAGCTTACCCACCCCGCTGGCCAGTGGCCCACAGTACTGCAAGCTCATAAGGCAGGTGTGAGTCCCACCATTGCTGGCCAGTCCCCATTCCTGACACTGTTAACCACTTGCCCGCCGCCCTACAGCAGAAATACTATATATCACGTATATATTTGTGATTTGCATTTGCACCGGGTAGCGAGCATGCACGCGTACCCGACCGTCCTACCAGCACCCGCCATTGGCGGCTAGGCATGTCAATCATTGGGTCCGGCCAGTTGATTCCCCAGCGGCACCCAGTGATAGCCATGCAAAGCTTACATGGGGGAGAGACCTGTGTGTAAACAAAACAGGTCTCTCTCCTGCCAGCAAGGACATGCTGTTTTGTATTTATCTGCACAGAAAAGAAAATACAAAACAGCATGTCTCCAAGATAAAACAGTACACACAGTGAAACAGCACAAAGCACACAGTCAACCCCTTTGAATGCCCCTCATGTTAACCCCTTCCTGCCCAGTGTCATTAGTACAGCGCCAGTGTTTGTTTTTAGCACTGATCACTGTATTAGTGTCACTGGAGATGTCAGTGGCAGTTAATCAGTTCCCACCCAGTGTCAGAATGCCCGCTGCAGTCCTGCAGCCATTACTTGTATAAATAAAAAGAAAATTCCAGTATATATACCGCCATTTGTAGACTCTACAACTTTCACGTAAACCAATGAATTTACACGCATTGTGATTTTGTTTTAGCAAAGACATGTAGCAGAATACATTTTGGCCTAAATTTATGGTGAAATTTGATTTCTTAAATGTTTTTATTGGACATGTTTAATAGCAAAAAGATTGGGATTTTATTTCAAAATTGTCAGTCTTTTTTTGTTTATAGCTCAAAAAATAAAAACCGCAGAGGTGATCAAATACCACCGAAAGAAAGCTTTATTTGTGGGGAAAAAGGACACAAATTTTAATTTATGTACAGCATTGCATGACCGTGCAATTGTCAGCTGAATTAACACAGCGCCATATCGTAAAAAATGACCTGGTCAGGAAGGGGGTAAATCCTCTGTAGGGCAAGTGGTTAAATATACCATTGGAATAATTTCTTATATCTAGTAGAGAAGTGCAAAAACATACCTGTTGATTCTTTAAAAATATTGTGCTTTCTGTTTGTGCTGTACTCTTATCAATCACATTGTTTCCAGCTATCTTTTTAGACTACAGAACATCTCTTTCTTATGGTATGAATAAGAGGGGTTGGTGTTCTGTGGTCTTGTCCAAGGTTGACAGCGCTGCTTCTCCATAGATACACTATGGAAAGTGAGTGTTACCACCCTTGAACAGAATGTGTGTTAAATAACAGGATCATCGGGTAAAAATAAAGGTAGCAATCAAAAGAATAGAATCTAAGGTGACCACAACAACTAAGGACTGACAAGCTGCAATATATAATTTGTTTTTAGACACACTTTAAATAGTAGGGTTATCAAGGACAGGGGTCATTCAATTCTGACTCATATGTAGAGCAGAATATTTATGTCAGACTCTTATTTGTTGAAGTGTTAGAAAGTTAGAAAACAGATTCTAAAATGCAATTTACACTGTTCATATGACAATATAAACTCAATTTTCCTCAACATTCTTCAAGAACAGGCTATATATTTAGGTATACTATTTTGTGTTTATTTCAAAATTTTAATTGAAATGACCCCTAGTTAATATCCTCTGTTCTCTACCATTATAACATTTTATCCATTCCATTTGTGATTAACTATGCTAGACTCCACCTCACAAAAATTTAATTTGTTGATTTTTATTGTTATACTGAATGATCACAATACATCTATTAAAATAGTTCATCCATTTTGGTAACATCTGTTTCAGTAATGAGAAGCTCTAATCGTAAGATTTCTGCTGCTGTTGGCTACAGATCACTTCAGGGCAAGGTCAAATATTTTGCCATACAAATTTGTTTTTTAAAAGTACAGTAGTTTCCCCTGTCATTAAGATGGATTAAAATTACACTTGAACCTAGTTTTTTTTCTTTTTTTTTTTTAATACTGTTCAGGTGTAGGATATTTTAAACACTGGAAACTCACTTAATTTAAAGAATGCATGAATAATTGTCTAAAACTAACAGTTTACTGAGACAACTTGAAAAATTACCCACCCCACTGTAAGTTGCTAGTAAGCAGTTGAAAAAAGGCAAATAAACATGAACAAAGCACACATCCAGCCAGGACCACCTTTAATATTGATTTAACCCTGGGAAAACATTTTCTTGGGCCCCACCCTCATGCAATTTTGCTTTCCACCTTCTCTGAGACATACAACAAATAGCAGCTAGACTCAAAATCAGTATACTGCAGCAGATTAGGCAGTGATTTTTATTGGTTGCCAGAGGTTACAGCAAATCATTACCACTCATTGGTTACTAGAGGTTAAAGCACATCATTACTGATAACTGATTGGTTGCTAGAGATAAGCATGCATCATTACCACTTATTGTTTGTACTGCACCCACCTCCTGCGTACTGCACCTAGTACCTCCATGCTGCACCTACAGTACATCCTTCAAGCTGTACCTACAGCATATCCTCCGTGCTGCAACTACAGTACATCCTCCGTGCTGCACCTACAGTACATTCTCCGTGCTGCACCTACAGTACATCCTCCGTGCTGCACCTACAGTACATTCTCCGTGCTGCACCTACAGTACATCCTCCCTGCTGCACCTACAGTACATCCTCCGTGCTGCACCTACAGTACATCCTCCCTGCTGCACCTACAGTACATCCTCCCTGCTGCACCTACAGTACATCCTCTGTGCTGCACCTACAGTACATCCTCCGTGCTGCACCTACAGTACATCCTCCGTGCTGCACCTACAGTACATCCTCCATGCTGCACCTACAGTACATCCTCCCTGCTGCACCTACAGTACGTCCT